GGAGTGGCATCCACTTCCTAAACCGCATGTCTCTGGAAACTCTATGAATTTGGAGAAATGACAGTTAATAGGTCTCACGTCTTTTGTTCACAGAGTATCTATGAGTCGTGAGCAATTCGATGGCAATCAACAACAACAACAACATACATTAACTTTTCAAAATTACTAAACAAGGCATTTTAGTTCTCAAATTATGAATTAATGATATTCTATTATTGAAAATGTTTTGTAAATTTTTCCAGAAAAATGGTTGATTCAAAATGATTAAACTAGTGTGTTTATGGCTTATTCTATCCAAACGGTATGTAGAGAAAGGTATTAAATATGCCACATGAAAGTTTAAATCCATGCAAAGTTTGATTCACATTGTTGTTGTTGTTGTGTACCATAGAGTCAGAACCAACAGAGCTGACCCTCCGGCGGGTTTTCAGAGGCAGTTAATCACACGGAAGGAGAGTGTCCATCCTTCCTCTGCGGAGCAGCTGGTGGCCTCAGACTGCATGCTTTGGGGATTGCAGCACAGCTTCCTGCCACTAGGCCACAAGAGCTCCTGCAACTCTTGACTCATTATTTAATAGAACTTCATCTAATAGCAAAAGTCTACATTATTCTGAAAATACACAAGGCTGTTCAATTCTGGGGCACTCAAGTCTAAACACTACCTTAGCAGCCTCTTGGTTACATGTTTCTTTTTGTAATGAGAAAACAAGTTCTTTATTTCTTCTTCCACAAAACCTGAGAATCCCCTCGGTTCCACCAAGTTAAGTGACTCCTCACTGGCCCTCTGCTGGGTTTGCCAGCCTGTAAACCATGTGAGAGGAGAGGACCAATGATCCTCCTCTCAAGAAGCTGCTGGATTCCAACCACCAGAGTGAGGTGGCCTTGGGGACAGCAATGCCACCTGCTACCGGCTAGGTCAGCAGAGCTTCCTGTGAGGCACTAGATGCTCTAACAAAGGCTGACAGAGACACAACCACTGTACGTAGTTCACTTATATGAAATAAAAGGGAGCCTGATGGCACAGTAATCAGACACTAAGCCGCTAGTCAAAGAATCGGCTGTTGGAACCCACTGTCTTCTCTGTGGGAAAAGATGCTGCACGTGGCTCTTGTCCAAGGTCACAGCCTTAGAAGCTTCTGAGGCAATTCTACTCTCTTCTGTGTTTGAATTATCTCAATGGCAATCAGATTTTTCCTCTTCAAAATGAGATAAGAAACAGCCCAAATGTTCAACCACAATCGACAAGATTGAGAAATTATTATGGTACAGTCACACGATGGAATACTATACAACAGGCAGGAGCAATGATTGTGTAAATTACTGCCTAACTTGGGAGGGACTGGAGAGCATTATGCTGAGTGAACTGACTCAATCTCATAAGGACAAATACGGTACAAGACCACTATTGTAGAAATAGAAAGATAACTAGTAAAAAATGTATAAGTATCCAAGGCGGGGGAGCAGAAGGGTGAGGGACGGGAAATCATAGGGTCGCACAATTTGATGGGTGGAGGTAGGTTAAGAAAATAGAAAAGATCTGGTTTGGAAAACAATGTACACAAACTTTTTAAGTAAACAAGTATAAAATAAAAATTTTATATTAAAAACATGAGGTAAGCAAATACATGTAATTAAAATGTCATGAGTGGTTACCAAGGGTATCTCCTCCTGTATGAATAACTGTCTCTGAAAACAGGCTGGAGGCTTAGCTATGAATTGGTTCCATCTTGAAGGCTTACAAAAACAAGGGCAGAACGGAAGGAGAAAGAGAAGGTTTTTGCATAAAGAATGCATTGAATTTTTGCCATTCGGTGGTGAAATAATTTAGATAAAGAGGGAGAAGAGTTGAACAATCTGAATAATGTAATCAACATCACTGAATTGTGCATTTAGAACCTGAAATCATGTTGTAGACTTTGCCTGTGTCTATCACTATAATAAAACAAAGCAAACACACAAGCCAAAATGCACTCTGTGGTCTCCCGCCTCCCTCGCTGTCCTTGGGAAGGCCAAGACACCACACAGCACTCACCCTGGAGACACTATGTGATTCTGAGCCAGACACCGAGGCGTCCAGTCCGTGGTGAAGCCTTGGTCCTTCCACTGGGTTCTCTGAGGAGTGGCTGTGCTCGCTCAAATGCTCATGAGAAACAACTGCACATTAAAAGACCAGAACTGCAACTTTCCATCAACAGGAAGCAAACATGAGCTATAAATCGCCTGCCCTTTCAGCCCTCCCCAAATCCAAAATGTCTTTCGAGCTAGATCTTGGCAAGAAAACAACATAAAACATTTTCTGTCTGAGAGAAAAGGGGGAATCTTTGATTTGGTTTCAACATTTTTAACAGGCAGGAGTAGAGCGAGACCAGATGTCACTGTGAACAGTCCGATCGCAGAAAGGCAGGGCTGACATCTGCCAGGGTGCTCGCCAGTACCTCCTGCCAGCCCACAGGCCAGGTGACGTCTGCCTCGTAGATGGAGTTGTTCCCAGCTCGCTCCCCAGTGCGTCATGTACTATTGTGACGGCAATAAACCAAGAGAGCCAAAATTAGCAGGCATTCATCACTAAGCCAGGAAGAAGGAACCACCCTTAGTAATGTTGACCTCAAACTGGTCTTTTCCTGGGAAATTAATATAGAGGATACAAAAATAAGGACCCAGGAATTAAGTCTATTTTCATAAAAAACCCAATAACAAACAAGAAACAAACCCCAAGGGGGGAAAAAAACCACCTCAAACAACCCTTCATCTCTAACTCTGCTCTGCCTGCTTCTTACTCTTTTGATTAAAATATGATCAATACAAGCCGTGTCGTTTTCTGTGGATGGCAGAGCAGAGCTCCTTTTACTCAGGAGGTCGCACTGCATGTTGGCACGTGCATGGGATTGAATGCTATCGTTCCCTGCCCAGTCCTCAAGTGAGCAGGACCTACCTACCAGAAGAGACAGAAGTATGCTTTTCATCCCTGGGGACTCTGCACTGAGACTCTCTTACATCCAGGGGAAGACTGAGGCTGAGTCCCCCAGAGCTCTCAGAGAAACGCTGAGCCCACAGACGGTGAGAAGACAAGCAGCTTCCCGGGGACCCTGCACTGAGACTTTCTTACATCCTGGGGGAGACTGATGTTGCATCCCCCAGAGCTCTCTGAGAACGCTGAGCCCAGAGACGGTGTGGGGACAAGCAGCTCCATCCAGGGTTGACAGCGTCTTCCCCTGGAGCTGGCATCCTCTATGTGGGCTTGGGAGCTTCCTGAACTGTGAAGGAAGAAGCTTCTGTTTATTAAGATTCATCCACTTGTGGTATTTTCATCACAGCGACACCAGATTCCAGGAAAGGCAAAAACAAGTAAGATTGAAGCACAGATGAAGGTGTCCCTGGCCCGGCACACCATGCAGGACTGAGGAGAAGGGCAGGTAGAAGAGATCACATCACTGAAAGCCACTTCTCCACCCCTCCCACTGCTTGCTAGCCTGAATTCAGTGAATTAAAGGGATAGTATGTCATGAAACTGCTTGATGATAAACAAATTCCGTTCTAGGAGTCAGTCTGCTGGTACACTGCTCAAAGAGGCAGTCAGTTATGAGTGCAAAGGATTAAAGTGACGCTGGCCCACATTTCTAAGCACGGCTTCACGAGGCCCGAGGCTGAGTGAACATAAGCTTCCCTTACCCTGTCCCCTGACAGAAACCTTGTGATATCTGCTTTACTTGAATCACAGCTGAGTGTCTGCTCTAATATGCTGGCCAGTCAAGAAAAGTTAGGACAGAAAACGAGATGTTTATAATCCTTATCTGAAGAATGTTGGCAGAAGCTGCCCAGAAAATGCCAGAAAAAGTAACATTCTTCCACAAAAGGTTGGCCACGCTCATTACTGTGGTACAGGAGTTTCGAGCAAGACCTTGGGTAATGAAACATGAGGACTGAAAGGTCTTTTGTTTTCCAGTCCCTCAGGAATGCCCGTGATTGTGACCGGGACAACTCCACGCAGAGCTGGGCTGCTCACGGCTGTGCTTCAGCATCAAGTTGACAGCTAGGCCGTTCCAGAAACCTGAATCATCCCCTCAGCTCAATGTGAATGAGTCAGAGGCTAAAGAACAGAGTCTTGGCTCTGGCGGGAGGATAAACTGCAACAAGGCTGGGTCTGCTGTTGTTTTAGGACAAGCACAGTCCCAACAACGATGACACTCACAGAGCAGTATCCTGTTCTAAGAGCTTTACGTGCACTAATTCACTTCACTACCACAAGCTGCTTAAGTACCAGATCCTTCCTCATGCTGTAAATTAGGGAACTGAGGCCCAGAGTCCAAGTCATGCAGCAGGTAGATAGCCTTGTGTTTTCGCTTCAGCACCTATTTTTAATAGTTAAGTCCAATGCCTTTCAAAACCAAAAAGCTTTATTTACCTAACAGCTGTGTACGGGGCCAGTCTCCCTCCTAGCCACTTTACTTGATTACTTTCTCCCTATAATCCTCATAACCACCCTCTAAGGACCCTGAGGCAAAGCAGCTCTCACTCCCTCCAGGTACCTGCTCAGTAAGTGACTACTTTAGGATGTCAAACAACCTAGTTTAGCTCCACAGAGTCCTGTTCAGAATCACACCACCACACTGCTGGCAGGATCCTGCTTCATTTCTATGATAACCGTGCAGAGAGCTGTTAGCACCATCATTTTCTAGATGAGGGAACTAAAATTCAGTGGGAGATAGTCTTACCATGGAGATAAAGCCATTACATGGCAGAGGTTGGGTCTAAGCTGTGTTCTTGACCATGACAGACAACACTGGTGGAACCTTAGCTCATTAGTAGTTAAGTTCCTTCTGGTTTACTCTAAGCACAGCATAATCAATAACATCAAGGCCTCTGTCCATTTTAGCAATGTTTCTTTCAAAAGACAGAGCTTGTATCCAACTTTCCATTTTCCTCAAATGACAATGAGGCATCCAACACATCCTGTACCCCAGTCCCCCTCTCCCCATCCCTAACAACAATTAATTACTTACGCTTTAAATGCTGGGAGGTAGGAGTATATAGAAATGCTGCTTAGGTTATAAATAAACGGCAGGTGTTTTCTGATATCTGCTGTGGCCCAGCGGCTAAAAAATGTGTTCAGTAAACCCTGGTCCCCACCTGCAAGGAAACAAAATTACAGTTAGCAGATCTCTAGGACAGTTCATTATTATGTATATAGGCATATATAATGCACGGTTTAAAACAGGAAGTAATTCTATTTCTAAACGAATAGACTCCATGTTAAAAACATGCTAAGACCTTGTTAAGAATATTTCAAGGTAAGTATAGAATTCTAAAAGCAGCACGAGAAAAACAAAGAGTCACCTGCAAAGGGGAAACAATTAGATTTAAGTTCTGATTTCTCAGCAGAAACCATGCAAGCTAGAAGACAATAGGATGGCATATACAGAAAGTTGAAAGAAAACAATTGCCATGCACACCCATGTTTATTGTGGCTTTGTTCACAATAGCAAAGAGCTGGAAACAACCCAAGTGCCCATCCACAAAGGAATGGATGAGAAGATCTGGTATATTCACACAATGGAATACTATGCAGCAGTGAAAAACAAGGAACTCATGAAATATTATGCAAAATGGATGACCCTGGAGGACATTACGCTGAGTGAAATATCTCAGTCACAAAAGAACAAATATTGCATAGGGCCACTGTTGTAAAATGAAACTGACATCAGGAGTGAAGGAAAACAGAAAAGGAGGGGAGGAATGATGTATATTACATTGAAACAGATGAGGGAGAGATCTGTTTAAAAGGGATATATGAATGGGTATTCTTGTCATTACAGAAGTCCAGAGTGAAGGCTGTATTGGGGGGAGGGACTGAGTAACAATGAAAGAGTTTTTCAAGGAGAAGAGTGATTGTGGGGAGGGGGCGGGTGGGAGCAGGTAGGCAAGGAGAAAAGTGCAACAATGAATGACTGGCAATCCTAAGTCTTTGTAAACTTTCATTAAAATTAGTAAATAAGTTAAAAAAAAAAAAGGAAACAATTTCCAGCCAAGGAACCTGTACCCAGCAAAACTCTCCATCAAATACGAAGGAGAAATTAGATCCTTTGCAGAGAAGACTATTTCAGGGGGGTAACCATTTATTCATTAAACAGAAATCGACTGAGTGTTATGACATGCAGACACTGTGCGAGGAGCTAAGAGTCATCAGTGAACAGAGAGAAGGAACACTTTCATGAGGGCGTGGGTGGGAAACAGACCAGCAAACTGGCCCATGATATGCGGCACTACAAACAGTGATGGGGCAGTAACAGAAAGCCCAACACGGGAGCTAGGGCCACAAACAGTAGGGTCTCATGAGTCAGGGAAAGTTTCCACCCGTAAGTGGTGTTTAAACCAGCTCTGACTGTGATATGAATGCAGGTAGAAGGGAAGACTGCTGATATTCTAGGCAGAGCAAAGCAGGCACTGAAGACCAAAGGGAGGCAGGGAGGTGAAACTACAGAAGAACCTGGACATTAGCCCGAGTAACCTGACTGCAGGGAAGTAGGCAGGGTTAGACCACCCAGGCTGTCCAAGGTTAAGATAAAAATTCTGGATTTTATCCCAAAAGCGATGGACAGAAAGAAGCAAACACACACAAAAAGCAAATGGAGATAATGGAATTGTCACATTACCCCAGCATCTCCTTCCTGCCACAGACCAAGCCTCTGGGCAGGGCTGGTCCATTATCACTGTGGCTGAGATCAACTCCAACCTCACAGCTCACACCCTTGCTCAATCCTTGGGGTCAGCCCCAACCCCACTGCTCATACCCCAGCTCAGTCCTTGGGGATGCCTGAATTCACACTTTTTGGTCCTTTACTGAGCAACCTCTTTGTGTAAGGAGGTTTCGGCAGGTCCCCATCCCTCAGGAACCAACATCTCAGCAAAAAAAACCAAGGTTTTACGCTCGTATATTCTAAACAAAGATGGTTAGGCTTCGCTTTTACCCAGACACACAGAAAATGAGAGCAAGATTTTCACTACATAGAAAAATGAATGGATTGTGATACATAAAATATTAAAGCAGTCTGCCACTCATCTGATGCTTATTTCAAGCTGTAAAAAGTATCCCAAAAGAAAAAAAAAGTATACCAAAAGCAAAATAAAATCAAAACAAGAAGTATCTCAACTGTGGGCTGGATGTTGGAACAAGGTGGTTGGGGAACTGAGGCTTGAAGCCCTACAAATCTGTCTAACCTGAAATTATCACAATAAAGCATGAGGAAATGCTAATTACTTCATCCCTAAAAAATGCAAAACTGGAAACATCTTAAATGTCCTTCAATGAGTGAGTGAATGTGGCATATCCGTTCTATGGAACAGCACTTGGCAATAAGAAGGAATGAAGCACTCATACGCATCCTGGGTGGATATTATGGGAATAATGCTGACTTAAAACACCAATCTCATCCGGTCCTCTACTGCACAATTCCATATATAGAACATTCCTTGAATAACAAAATCATAGAGATGGAGAATAGCATCAGGAGATGAGGGTGGAGGAGAGGGAAGGGAGGTGGCTGTGGCTATAAAAAGGGTTAACCTGAGGGATCCCAGTGAGCTAAGTGAGCTAAGTCTTCTGTGTCCTGCCTGTGGTCATGGCCAGTCACACCCACCTGGCCACGGATAAAACTGCAGCGAAAAACAAACACACAAAAGACCACCCCCAAATCAAGTGACAGCATGTGAGGCTGGTGAAATCTAAATAAGGCTGACGGTTTGGAACCGTGTCAGCTTCTTAGTTGTTGTTGTTTTTAAATTATTTTTTGTGTGAGTGTACCGTCAAATCAGATCTGACTGGTACAGGAGGAGATTGTCCCTCCTTTCCCGGCAGAGCATCTGGTGGATTCGAACCGTGTGCCTCTGGGATTGTAGTTGCAGCTCCTTGCCACTAGACCACCAGATCTCCCCCTTAGTTGTCATCATACATTATAGTTCAGAAAACAACTACCATTGAGGGAAATTGTGGGATCTCGGCATTATTTCTTACAACTGCATGTGAAGTTACAATTCTCCCAAAACAAAATTAAAGGAAATATCTGAGAATCTATGAGATTCAAATGCAAAATACAACTGGGCACTGTTGGTCAGGACACTAAGTTCCTTGAGGACAAGGGTGTGGGTCTTTGCTCACCATTCTATTGCTGGCATGTAGAAGGCCTTTCAATAGACTACTTGTAGGATGAATATATAAGAAATTTCACAAACACCAAAAACCTGTGAAGATGGTAAGTTAACAACAAAGTCTTAGATAACTTACATATCCATCCATGGAGGAATGGCTAGTACACTGCAATACTAACTGCTAACTGGAATTTTATTCAGCCATTAAAGCAAATAGCTATACAGAAAATCAGTCCCCTGTATGAATAAACCAAACAAATGTTAAATAGCTGTGCATATTATGATTGGATCTAAGCAACATGATCACAGATATGCACAGCTCTTTGTCACTGTGTTTTGTGTGCCATGATAGCAGAAGCTATCAAAAGATGTGTTGCCTTGGGAAAAGCTGCTGTCAAGGACTTCTCCCAAGTGCAATGATGTCAGTTTAAAGATGAAGATGCGTCTGATGGGAGTGATGGTCTTTTCAGCTGCTTCGTAAGAATCTGTAAGTTGAACAGTGAGGATGACAGAAGAATTGATATCTCTGAACTGCGGTGTTAGAGAACAGTGCTGACTACCCAGTGGACTGAGAAAAGAACAATCAACACTGCCTGAGATCAAGTACAGTGAGGGTGCTCCTTAGAAGCAAGAACCGTGAAACTGTCTTCTATACGTTGGTCATGTTGGCAGGACAGGTCAGTCTATGGAAAAAGACATCATGCTGGGAAAGGGGGAGAGTCGAAGAGAAGACAACCCTCAATAAGGTGACCTGATTCAATGACTGTAAAAATGGGCTCAAGCATATCAGAGATTGTGAGGGTAGCACAGGATTGGCCAAGGTTCAGATCTCATTCAAGGCTATCTATGAGTTTCAGTTGACTAGATGGCATCTAACAACAACAACATTGTGATTCTAGCTTAGAATGTAAACACTCATTCTGGAAGAAAGACAGTAAATGAAATGACTCTGCTATGGTGTTAAGGTTATAGGTGTTCCTCCCTTTTCTTAAAGTTGCATTGCTTTCATGACTAAAAAAGATGTTAAGGATTTCTGAGTGAAATGTCTCAGTCTCAAAAGGACAAATACTGATTAACATCACTGTTATGAAGCAGGACTGACATAGGTGGTTGTGAGGAGAATAGGAAGAGAGTGGATAGATAATGAACACTGTATTGGAATAGTTGAGAGAGAGAACTATTTAAAAGGAATATATGATAAGGCATTACATGTAAGACAACAGTCCAGAATGAGGTATACTGCAAAGAGGACGGGAGAAGGAGGATACTGTACAACAATCAATGAACGAAAAGAAAAAAGTCAAAGTTGTTTCACTCATGTTGCTTTTTTCAGGCAAAATCTACACCTAGACCAAGAAGCAGTCATAACAACAGAACAAGGGAATACTGCATGGTTCAAAATCAAGAAAGGAGTGCATCAGGGATGTGTCCTTTCTCCATATCTTTTCTACCTATATAGTTAACAGATCTTTCAAGAGACTGAATTTTACAAAGAGGAATGTGACATCAGGATCTGAGGAAGACTCATCAACAACTTGCTTTATGCAGATAACACACCTTTTTTGTAGAAACTGAGGAGAACTGAAGGTGTTGTGTTTGTTGCAGAAGACTGACGACTATAGCCTTCAATATGGATTGCATCTCAACATCAAGGAAACAAAAGTTCTCACCACTAGATCAATAAGCAGCATCATGATAGAGAAAGGATAGAAGTCGTTAACAATCTCACCTTGCTCAGACCCACAATGAATTACTCTGGCATTAAGAGTCAGGAAATCAAAAGACAAGTTGCATTTGGGGAAATCTGCTATCAAGAATCTCTTCGGAATGCTAAAGAGCATTTACATCAGTCTAAAGACTAAAGTGTGCCAGACTCAAACCAGGGTCTCCTCAATTGCTTGCTATGTATCTGATGCTTCTAAGGATGATAGAATACCACTGAGTTGTGGTGTTGGAGAAGAGTACTGAGCATCCCATGAGCTGTT